TCCCAACTTAAATCCTGCCTGCAATATCCTAACCCATATATGTCAGATACTATATCAAAATCAGTCCCTTTTATTCAGGGATCCGTTGATCAACGGTTCCGATTATTAAAAAATATAAGATGTAATTAACCCTAACAACGGTGTCTCACAAATAAACTTAAGGCATCAGAATTAATTCTGTACCCAAAAGAAAAATGATGATGTTAATATGAAGTTTTCAAACTAATCTATTTTTTACCTACTTCCGCATACATGTAAAGCACTTTAGTTTGTTAAAGTAAGCAACATTCATTCCAGGTGGTCTGAGAATTTTTTTAAGCCACGCGTCAATATCTGTCACGAATCCGTTGATCAACGGTTCCGATTATTAAAAAATATAAGATGTAATTAACCCTAACAACGGTGTCTCACAAATAAACTTAAGCCATCAGAATTAATTCTGTACCCAAAAGAAAAATGATGATGTTAATATGAAGTTTTCAAACTAATCTATTTTTTACCCACTTCCGCATACATGTAAAGCACTTTAGTTTGTTAAAGTTAGCAACATTCATTCCAGGTGGTCTGAGAATTTTTTTAAGCCACGCGTCAATATCTGTCACGGGGGACTGAGATTTTTGCCACTACATCGTTTATTTTAGAATATTCATAGAATCCTACCAATCTAAATCTGCTTCGTTATTTTTGGCTATTAGTTTCTGATATTGTAAAATATTAGTTTGTGGATTCTTTCTTTCTGTACTTTTTAAAGTTTAAATCAACCACAAAACACTTCTTTATTATTTTACTCATTCGTTTCATAATTGAATGAATTCAAAACCCAAATTGCCTATTCATATTTGATGAAAGCAAAATTTGAAATATTTTAATTTTAAAAGATTATTATTTTTAATATAAGCGATAATCTAAATTATAAAAGAAGAAGTATCTCACGCGTGCTATGTAAGTTCGAACTTAACATCACTCGTCTACATGTCACTAGAATAGACTAACTCATTTTAATTCTAAAGAGAATATCAGCATAATCGTTTCTTTCTTCTTATCTTATAATTAATGGATATAGTAGTCAATTACCTGAGCAATGCAGCCCCCAAGACCCATGCCTTCAAAGATCTGGTGAAACGCAAGCGCAGCAACCAAAGGCCTAATGGTGCACTGATTCTGCGACATCCCCAAAGTGACCCCAATAATCACCGAGTGGAAAATAATCCCAATCTCCAACACCTGAGACACAAGCCTCTGCTTCAGCCTCACCAACATTTCCTCACTACCCCCACTGCTATTGCTCTCCGCACCCCCCGCCACCGACTCCACATCCATCGCCAATTTACTACTATTACTAATACTATTCTTTCCCCCCAATTCCTCCCTCGCCCCAATCGGAACGACCTCGTATTGCCCGTGGTGGCCGCCACCGGGCTGCGATTCCATGTGGGAGGTCGCCGTGAGGTCGACGAGGAGCGCCAGCAGGGCGCCGACCATGGTCACGAGCCCCGAGAAGGGGTAGTCTTTCCAGGGGTGGTGGGAGGACACGCGGCAGTCGGAGAGCGCGATGAAGGCGTCGGGGAGCACGTGGACCAGGGAGGTGGAGAGGATGACCCCTGCCGCGAAGCACTTGATCAGAAGCGTGGTTTTTTCGTATGCGGGCTTTCCCTGGAAGTAGCGGGACAGGAGGACTGGCGACGAAATTCCGACGACGCTCGTGATGAAGATGACGATGATCGAAATTAGCTTCAGCTGCGAGGCGGCGTGCCCGTCTCGGCACGATAGGGTCCGAGACGTGTCCGATGCGCAAGCAGCCATGTCCGATATCCGAAACGCACGACTCGGGGCCGATATGTGTGGGTAGACTTGTAGTCTTCCGGAGGAGAAGATGAGAAATTAAGGAGGGAGAGAGAGGGAGGGAGAGTTGCTTGACCCGGGTGTTAAATGGTGTGGGGCCAAGAGGTGGGGCCTAGCAGTTACGTTGATGACGTGTTCACTAGACCGTGCTGGGCTATTGCATTATCCGTGAGTTTCCATTGTTGTGAAGTGTGAAGTGTGAAGTGTGTGTGTTTTCCACTTCCAAAATTTCTTCTTTTTTAGTAAGAAAAGTTTTCTACTTTTTATACAAAAAGATAAAAAAAAAAGAAAAAAAAGGAAGCAAAGTTATCTGCTTTTGTTGGTGTGTGGATTTGATTTTGATTTGTGTTAAATTTTAACTTAGCCCTTCGAAAATTTGTATATTTTAAATTAATCCAAAGTTGAACTTCCATTATATTTTTTTACTGTAAAAAATACAGAGATTTTTGTTTTCTTTTGAATTTGGTCATGTACGGATTCCATTTTGTTGAATGAAGGCGACTTGAGAAGAAAAAACAATACACAACAATTTGTTTTTGGTGGGTTCTATTGCTTTCACCAATTCAACAGCCATTGGATTCATGACACCTCATCTATTAGAATTGAGAAGGCAAACATTTCCTAGAAATTCATTAGAAAATGCAACAACTTTTCTTAGTGCCTTATTTTTTTTAATTACAAGGGCATTTGGGATTATTATTTATATTCATCCCACCTCATTCATGCTATTTGAGCTTGAGCAAAACTTTTTTTATTTTTAAATAATTTCATTTCATTTGAGGGAATTTGCAAAATAGAATACTCCCAATGGCCAAGAAAGCAGAAGAGCCTTTGTATGTTTTAGGGCCTGAAGAATAAAGATAACGAGAGAGCACATTGGGACAAGCTCTTATACTTTGAGGCCAGATTTTTTGTTACGCAAGGCCAAATCAAAATGGAAAACATAGGCCCAGCAACAACTAACCAAGGCCTAACAAATTCAAGCTTAGCCAGCCCTGCCCTATTTGGTGGGTTCATTCAGAATTTCAACTATCCAAAAACAGATAAGCATAAGTCAGAAGAAATATGACAGACCACAAAACCCAACTCTTGATCAAATGTAGGGATTGAAGTTTTCTCAATGGGTAAGGGTTTTTGCAGGGCTTTGATTTTAATGGGTCAGGTATGAAGGATAAAAAATGAGTATAGAGACAGATATGGGGAATTTTTCGGGTATAGTGTTCAGGGAGGAGTGGGGATGGTATTCTAATGCCCCATTTTGAATATATATAATTTATTTTTCATATAAATATATTATTAAGATGGATGATGTCTTGGACAAGTAGTTTTGACACATATTAATTATTTTTTTAAATAGTCTTAAAGTTTAGTTAATAAAATTTGAATTGATAGATATGTTGTGCATATAGTACTTTTTTCTCATTCAACAAAGTATTTTATGTTGACTTTTTTTTTTTCATTATGGGGCAAGTTTGGGAACTCGTTCCCCAACAAAGGCGGGAATTGGGAATTCCCAATTTTAATATTATGGGTATAAAGGTGAGAATGCTTAACGAGAATGAGGATGGGAATGGTATACCCACCCCTAATGAGGATGGGAATGTTGATCTTGTGGGGTTGGTTGGTGGCCTAAGCTTTGGTGCCCTCGATCTTGTTTGCGGACTCAATTTTATGTTTATGTGCTTACAGGTTTTTGATATGCTTTTTCTCCTCCCACCTCTGGCAGCTGCGTCCCGGCGTCTTGTCTTCACCACCATCGCCAGCTCCTCGACTCCACGAAGGTCTCTTTTACTTGGTGACTCTTATGGGGTGGGGGATGTTTTTAAAGTGCTTTTGTCACTTATTACTTGGATTATGGTAGTGCTCTTTGTAGCTTTGGTGGCTTGTCCACCACCATTTTCTGTTCATAGCTTTGGTTACTGGTTCCTCTTCGGTGGGTGTGGTCGTGCGTCGATGCTGTTCAGTTATGGGTGGTGTGGCATCCAGGGCCGGCCCTTGGCTAGGGCAACTAGGGCCACGATTGAGAAGGGCACAAAAAAATATATATATTTGCTTATATATATATGTGTATATGATCAGACAAAAAATATATATATATATATGTTGTTGTTGTGATTCTCTCTCTCTCCCCGAAAACAAAACTGAGTTGGAAAACAAAGCCATTTTGAGAAGTTGAAACTCACTGATTCTACTCTCACATAATCAAAAGCACCCATTGACATACAGAAACATCTAAAATACAGGTTTTATTGTTCTTTGTCTTCAAACATTTTTCCCTATTAATGAACACTGGAGACATTTTTCCTCACATTATTATCTTCGAACATTACAAAATAAGACCCAACGTTAAAAAAAGGTTCTAATAAGACCCAACGTGTTCTTCATTGCCTTTTGTAAACTCTTATAATTTGAATAAAATTAATTATTTGATTAAAAAAAATTAATTTATGAATAAAGGGCACACTCTTAGAGTTTTGCCCTGGCCTTCAATCACCCAGGCCCGGCCCTGGTGGCATCTACCTATTATTTTTCCTAGGTTTTCTTTTGTTTGTGTTGTGTTGTTTTGGGTTCTCTCCCTCTTGTGTTTTGTTTTTGTTGCTTTCTAGGAACTCTTCTTTGTCTGGGTGAGAAGCTTGGTTCTAGCCTTGTGCCTTTGAGGTCTAGCTGCTTCTACCTAGTTTTTGTGTTTTGCTTTTGAGCTTCTGGCTCTGTTTGTATTTTGTTTTCTCTGGGTTTTTTTAATGAGATCATACTTCGACCAAAAAAAAAAATTAGTCACTATTATTTATGTCTAATAATTTAAATATAATAAATTTTGTTGTAGCTAACACATGAATAGTAATAATGTAATAAAATATAAGAGGATAATCTTTCCCATAATAAAATATTAGCCTCTTTGCAAGCGCTTCCGCGCCTGCGAGAGGCTTTTTTAAGAAAATTTTAAATTTATTTTAGAATTAAAAAAGATAATGGGTAGTTGTGTTCCATAAAAATGGGATATATTATCTTATTTTTCTTTTAATTTTTATTTTTTAATATGAAAAAGTGTGAATTTACCATATTATCCTCATTTAATTAATAATTTCAATTCTTAATATTTGCATTAACCAAGTGCATTTTCTGGTATTTTGAATGTTTCACCGTTCTCTGCCTTTTGCTTTATATATATAGATTTACAACCCTTCCCTCTTTTGTTCACCTTTTCTCATCCTCAACCGTTAGGCTTTTATATTTTTGTATGAACCTCAATTCCTTTACCTTTCTTCTTTCTCACTTTCTAATCCAACTTCTTTCACCATTCTATCTTCTCCTTCTCTTTTCAATCTCGGAATTATCAATCCTTGGTATGTTGTTAGTTCATCTTGCCCTTCTCTGTTTATCTGTAATCTTATATTCCTAACTCAAATATTCATATCTAAACCGCATCTCCCCTTAGAAAGGTAAAGGTTTTTGTTTTTTGAAGTTTTCATGTGGTTTCATTTCAGGAATGGTTTTGGGTTTTATTTATGTGTGGGTTTGATTTATGAGACTCAATTGGAAAGCTTCCATCTCTTAAACTTCTATTGAAATCCTTTTCAGATCAGGATTTTTTATATGTGAAGCTCAACCGACGCCGACATCAACGATTGTCTTTTTGACAGCCACGTTGAAGCCCAACCAATGATGACGTCAACGCCGTCAGTGTGAACCTTCATGTGTTCAAACGATGTTGGCCTAGATCCTGTTGTCTCTGTCTTTGGTTTAGTGTTTGAAGAACATTTGTTTCCTACATATGTAGCTGGACTGTGTTTGGAATTTTTTCTTTTGGTTTCTTGGTCTGAATTATTTGGTTAAAATTTCAACTCTTATGAAAGGATGATATATATATATATATATAATATGGGTCTTGACTCAGATTTTTTAAGCTTTGATTGTGATTTCAGCTAAGAATTGGGTGATGGGTATTTTGGTTTGAGTGTTGTAATATGGTTTTCGTTAAGGGATTTGGTTTTCGGTAAGAGATCTGATTTCAGCTAAAAATAAAAATAAAAAGGAATTGGAAATTATTATAATTGTGAAAAATATAATGCACAAATATAACACAAATAATAATGGAAAGGATTTCTATTTTTTTTAAAAAGAGGATAATGGAATGATGTTAAAAAAAAAAAAGGATAATGGAATGATGTTGGACGTCAGCGCAATCAAATAAAATAAAATAATAAGATATAAATATAGTTTGATTAGACATGATGTGGGGCCCACTTTGGAGCTATAGGATGGTCAACACAATTTGTCACGAAATGGTGGTTTAATCGTGACAAAACCCAACTGTCACGCGATCAAAAATTGTAACAGCATCGTTACTATTAGCTTTAGTCACGAATATTCGTGACTAATACTGCCAAAAGTCACGAAAAAAAAGTGATTGATGTGTTTGTTTTTTGTAGTGATTCAAACTGGAAAACAGAGTCGAATTGGGCCCCAAAAAAATAAAATTGGACGGACCGATTTGGTCCGGTTCTAGTTTTGATTCTTAAAGTGAAAAAATTAGACTAGGCAAAATCAGAACGTCTGTGTGTTTTTTAATACATATTTAATTCAAATGCTAAATTTCTAAGCCCATAATTAATTTTTTTCTAAACCCAACTCCAAATCACCTCTCTTGTCTAGGCACAATCAGCTCCATTTGTATGAAATTGGACTATTTGTGAATTTTTAAGCCCAAAAAATAACATTTTAGTTGGGTTTTGTAAAAAAAAAAAATCAAAGAATTAAAAACAAAAAAGATTTTGGTCCAAAACCGAAAAAACGGGAAACCGAACAAGTTATATATATATATATATATATATATTTAGCGAAAACCAGATTGAATGAATAGTGTCATTTTCAATTTCGGTTTGGAGTGAGAACCTGACCGTGCCCATCCCTAACGCCAAAAGTCCCACATCAAAGTAATAACCCAAGGTGTTCCCCATCTCTCCTCTATAAATAGGGCTCTTGCCCCAATGCATAAGATAATATTAATTTAGCACTTGTACCCTTACTCTATCAGTATTTTCTCACTGCATCCTTAAGCTAACTTAAACATTAAAAAACATTTGATCGGTACCACATCGGTGTCAAGGTCCTCATCTTTGCACTCTTCTTTTGCATATCTATCCTAGACGTATTGCAGGACACACCCGACTGAAGGCAAACCCACTAGGTTGAATTTATTTTCCGACATGAACACTTTCCATGTAAAATTAAAGCATCAATAGAAAACAAGAGCAAAGTAGGGCTAACTCCTTCTAATTTATCTTTTATTTATTTATTATTATTTCATCACAACCTATGTATCTTATCTTATTGATATTGTAAAGCCGCATATAAAATGATGGTGGATTTGATCCTAATACGATTTGAATGGCTCACTTAAATTGAACTCTAAAAGTAAAGAACAAGGATGTAAGCTTGAATCAACTCTTATATTCGGCTCTCGTTTGGTTCGGTTATGCTATTAGTTTGAAACTTAAATTAAACCAACTCAAATTGTGATTATATTAATTAGATTGGGAGTATGTATACTAAAGTAAACTTCAAATGTTTTTTTTGGTGAACGAAAGTTTAGGGGGAGGGGAGGCTACTCTATCCCAGAAAAAAGGCATATTAAGACTTCTTTGAGGACTTACATAAGGGGTTTTAGCTCATTTTTAGGTTTTTACAGATTATCCACCAAGAGGGATTGTTGGCATCATGACTCGAACTTAGGGCTTAATAGCGAAGAGAATGATCCTTATAAACTCAACCAACTTTTATTGGCAACTTCAATTTTTATTAATTGTGGTGGAACATTGCATAAAGAACGCATCCTTTGTCACTGAATGGCCACACAGGGGTCGGGACATGTTTGTTGCGGACAGTGGTAGGCCATTGAGCATTCAAAAGAAGCACACAGATGGGCCAACAAAACACCCACACCACAAAGTCTATGGCTCACCTTGGGATTTTTGGTGTCCGTTAAAATTTCCAACAAGCAATTCATTCATAGAAATGAAAAACCCAGTAATTAACCAGAATTATTGCTCGTCAAAGGCAGATTTTCCCTCTATAAAAAAAAAGTAGGGGCCCTAGGGCCAATCAAACTCCATAAACCATACACCAGAAGAAGTATTAATACTTTTCTTTTGTGCCTTCAAATGAGACGTTTTGACCAAATTTCTACATCTGTTATACAAATCCGGTGCACAAAATATTTTTGGAGATTGAGATGTACAAATAAGTTGCTTGCCTATTCTCAATAACAAATCCATTAATCTTGCTCCTCCTTGTGCTGTGTCCCTTTATAGCTAAACTTCAAAAGGTTCTTCATTCGGATATGGACCACAAAAACACAAAGATCTATACCTCATACCAAAATAGCACGTGGCAATGGATGTGTCACATAGAACATTGCTTATCTTCTTATAAGTAAGGAACTAATGCAAACTCCAGGTGGACATGTGCACCACATTCTTCACGCCTTTGTGATTAACTAATATTTATTATAAACATGTTATAATCGGAATCGTTTATTTTTTTTATGATGTGGCTCATCATGAGTATTTTAATTGTTGATTTGTTCGACGCATATAGAAAATAAAGAGTTTCAAGGTTCATCATGAGTATTTTAATTGTCGATTTGTTCGACATAAAGGGTTTCAATTATGACATGTGTGGTGAAAATTCGTTAGTCACAAGTTCACAACACAATGAAATGCGATTAGATATCGTCCATTACAAACTGTGGTTCATTAAAGGGATAAAAAGTAGATAAAGTTTATGCAACTAAGTATTTTTCTATCATGATGATCAGTGCTCTTGTACTATGAATACCCACCCATTCATATCACTAAAATGTGATAAAAGCACTGAGGCTCGTTTGGTGTTGATGGCCACCCAAAAAAGAAAAATAATGAGAAAATAAAAATGAATGGTTCGATTGCTTATTATATTTGTGGCTATGTACATGGCAGAGATTGCGTACTAAAATTGATCTTTTAATTAGTTTTTTTTAAAAAAAAATTTAAATATCTGAATAATCTTTTAATTCATGAGTCATGTCTTTATCTCCATCATCACCCTATTAACCTCAAATATTAGCCTCACCATCCAATTCAGAAATCTCAAATTTTGGACCTAGACTCTAGTAGCTTCTCCAATGTACTCTGTGCACCAAATGTGGACACGTCCTACGAACATAAAACTAGGGGCCATGGGGGCACCTGTCTCATTCTTATGTTTCCACGTGTCAATATCTTGATCAAAGTTATGGCATCTGATCTAGGGTTGCATCTAGGAGGTATGGATAACGATGATTAAGAGGCCAGAATCCCTTCTAGAACATACTAAGAAGCAACGCCACAGCATTCCCTATAGAGTTAAACATCTGTAAAGAAGATGGTATAGAATCCAATCCATATGGAATATATTTCTACTCTAAAACGTTAACAAAATTGAGGAGAATGATGAGGAAAAAAGTCTTTTGTTAATGTGTCAATTGATTATCTCTTATGCTTATAGTCTTATTATATGCGGATATACTTTAGTATATTGTGTACGAGAAAAGTGAATCTGTCGATTTAACGGCTACAATTATGTTCGCATGCCAACTGCGATGAATTTTTTTATGCAATATGCACTTGATGTGTGAATTAACAACCGATTATAATAATTATCCTCATAAGGATAAATTAACTTAAAAAAAGACTCTATGATTCCTTTATTACTCATTTGATCCATATTGAAGGAGAATCAAGGAATCCACACCCCCAATCATGCATTCCCCTCTCAAGTGAATTTGGGAAAGGACCTACTATCTTTCCCAAGACCCGCAAAGAAAAAGTGGATCCCTCCCTACTCATTGGGCATATTATGAATGCTAATTAGCTAGCTTTAAAACATCCAATTATCCATTAAAGAAAAGCATAAGTATGGGGACAACATAATGCATGCAAAGAAAGACACAAAGCAGAAAAGTTTGTACACTTCTTGGAAGATGCACTTGTTGTGGAGTGTTGAATCATTAGAGAAGGGACCCTCAATTTTTTTGTAAAAAGATGTAATGGAAAAGATCACAACCCCCCTTGGTGGTAGTGGGTTGGGCCAAGTGTGATTTTCTGGTGATAGAGCTAGCCTTACACACACACGTGTACACATTGCCGTTGGTGAATGGAGCATATATATTTGGTGTACGTGTCTTTTCTAATTATAATGGAAGGCCTTATGATTAAGGAAGAAAAGTAAGTGAGTTGGAATGGAACTAAGTAGCTTAGAGGGCCACAAAATTATGAAAAAGGAAGAAGGAAAAAGAGCACAATAGCGATGGTTAGGGTTCAGTGCTTAGTGAAATGAAGGTGAATGTGCTATTTGCTATTGGGGTTTCTGTTGTACCTTTTGTTTTCTTATGAATGATTAGTCAGTCATATTACGTACCAAACCCTAACCAACACGTGGAGAGACAAAATTAAGATAATGAAGTTCTCTCTTCGATACCATATATTTTGGTGAATTGGAGAATCGAATATATGATTTCGAGTGTAAAGATAAACTAATATGCTCGATCGCCAAGCGAAAAATGGATTTATCTTAATGACCACCTAACCCCTCCCAAATTTGTGTTCCCTTTTTCTTATTTTTGTTTTGTACATTTTGTTCCCAATTCCTGTCTTTCATCAAATATATAAATTTTGTTTCATCTCTTATTTCTTCATTATTATTATTATTATTCAAAATTGCCACGCACTAAAGGGCGTTAGGTAAGTATTATCATTAGTGAAAAGAATTTGCTTAGCAGAAAAGAGGAATGGGACACACACACA